TTGAAACAACTATGAGTAGGAATTTTGCTGAGGGCATATACAGCTGCTGTCTGTATCAAATAATGGTACATCTATGAGAGATAAAATATTGTTAGGCTGCAGTTGCAACACTGCATCCACTTGAATTAGTATCAGATCTCTTTTCTTATTTGTTTCCTTCTTACTTTAAAATTGAAGGTCACATTTATACAGGCCATTAATTCAACCCTATATGGCGTGGCCCCTACCAAGGTCGCCTGGGCATGATGGGGGGGTCTAACAATAGGTTTCCAGGGTCGCTGAATCCGACTCTGACATTTGACTTTATGTTCCTAGACAACCTTGGGATCCGGAGGGCGCCATTTTTTATCTTTATGTGTATCTCTTCATCTTTTTTTCCACTTAATCTATCCCATAACAAGTAGGACCAAACTTAACAGATCAACTCAGCTTGACCTATGAAATTCTGTGCGATTGGACTATTGAAAACTGTTGTCTTCGTACACTAATTGAATGGTGGAGAGATACACGAAAGAGTGGTGTGCTCTGACATAACAAGCTTGTGATGAAGCCTTTTGCAATGGAAACTAAGCTGCAAGGCTATTGTCAAGATGCACAATTGTCAGATAGATCATAATTGGACATGGCAACATAGACTTTAATGAAATGGTGAGGCTCCAAAGTCGTTTTAATATGACATATTCAACCTCCGTATACGTTCATTTAGATACATTCAGTTTGTTTTTCTAAATTTTCAAGAAGTTGTTGTACATATGATTAGCATATTTCCGGTAAACTGGATGTATGAAAGTTATAAATAAACACTAATCATCTTGCTTGAGTAAATATTACATAGAACAATAGTTATATCACGAACACTGGTGCCATCTTGACCATCTGTCTTTGTCTGGCTTTGGTGGTTATAATGTGACGGTCAATCCCACTATTCGTTGGTAAAAGAATAGCCCATGAGTTGGCGATGGGTTGTGGTGACTAGCTGCCTTCCCTCTAGTCTTACACTGCTAAATTAGGGACGGCTAGCGCAGATAGCCCTCATGTAGCTTTGCGCGAAATTCATAGCAAATCAAACCAAACTTTCTTACCGATATAACTTATGTGTCTCCATTTCAAAATTAACTATGCAAGACGGAAATTGATAATTGGTAATAGGTTCAAATTCTGTCAACTAGAAAGTTTCATATTTTTTAGTACTTAATATTTTCTGAAAACATATAGACAGGAGGGTCGTTTGTAGAGAAGAGGACTGATATATCTGCAACGAATGAGATAAAACAGGATGGAACCCTGTAGTGGTGATTTTGCTTAAGATGGTCGATAAGCATGCATAACCCAGAAAAAAAGGAAATGGCAATGTTTTAATTGTTCTCTTTGCCTGGTGAAAGATCATTCAGCTATTAGAGTATAAGAATAAAATTAAGCTAAACTGAGGAGGCTACTGCTCAGTAACAGAAAAATAATTAAATATACTAGTCTCAGTGTCGTATATCCAAATACATAAAGAACAAATAATTATGTTCAGGCACTAGATGAAAAACAAATCTTCACATTGTAGAAACTGATCTAAATTATCCAAGATACAAAAGCAAATATACCATAGATGCAACTAAACCAATTCCCTCTGTTTAAATTTACTTAGGTGGTAATAAGTGTCTGTAATATCAAAAAGACCAGACTATAGCACTCGGAAACTGCAGAGCTCTCTACTGATAGCCTCTCTCTCCATTCTGGACGTATTAATCAATGCAAAGGCCAATTATATTTCTTGAATTGAGTAAGGTCAGATTAACATCCTCAAAGCGACTCATAGGTTATCTTGAAATCATTTTTTTTTTCATTCTACCTTGTCTGCTTTTAAAGAAGCTATTTGCAAATAACCTGATGAATCTTTCTATGCCTTCCGCCCACTCACCAACGACACCGAGGACTCCACGCCTTTACCACTTGCCTGGAACCGGAACCTATTCAATAAGAAAACCAAGATGAGCACCAGGAGACTCCACAGCTCATTCAAAAGCTAATCAACCCCAGCACCGGACTTCACTTTGCCTTCCCCACTTACTTCTTCTCGCTAACTGGGCACTGGTAACGAATCGGTCGTTACCAGTGAAAGTGGGTTTTCTCGGGGCACTCCCGTTTCCCCCCACATTAAATTCTAGGCATAGGATGTTTATATCCCCACCGCCCTGATGGACCATCAGTCCGACATCGGCCGTTTAGTTTAGTTTAGTCTACTTTGCTCTTCATTTTTTTTTTTTTTTATTTTTTTTTACCGTTACTTTCCCGTTTACCTTTTTAAACTTACATACCTTGTCTACATTAATTTCCTGTTTTCTAAAGTTAAGCCCATATTCCTAGACCACGCGCGGGGTGAAGGAGGATTGTTTAATCTTTGAGCACTCTTGATTAATAATTATTTCTTAAGAGATAATTATCTTTAAATCAAAATAACTGCCAAAAACAATAACAACAACAATCGGGACTGGAATAGCAGAGAGATTAAAGATATAGACAGATAATCGAGCCAAGCCGTAAGCAAAGTATGTAAATCATTGTGAATTATAGCGTGTGTTCAAGTTAAAGTGGCTGTGGAAATTAAGTGTATTGCAAAGTTGTATTGAGAAATAATAAACTAGTTTTGATTAAGAAAGGACTTGTATCGTTGAAGTTTCTGAAAGAATTTTCACGGGAAGTTAACAAACGAACACAGATGTAACAAAACTATAATTTATAGTGCTGGATATAATTTAGAAATTGCCGGTCTTCACGCTTAATACAAATCTTCAAAAAGATAAAATTCCTGGTGATTTTTTTGAAAAAACTGCTGAAGTTATTCAACAGTCTTTAGGAAAACCACTATCGGTAGGTTTTTGTTCAATTTTATTTTCCTTTTGTTCAATCTTATAACTTAAGTTATGATTATCAGCATCACTATCACGCTGCACGCTCTGCGTGCGATTCTTTGTGTAACAATATAGATATACTTAGTACTACTAGTACTAGTAGAATTGGCTCCATAAAAATTTGACATCAATTATATAAATTTGGAAAAATGCATAGTTTCTTCAAAAAAGAAAAAAATACAAAATTGCTTTGAAATTCTACATAAATATAACGTGACATAAACTTAGTTATTTGTTAAACTTAATCCTAAACTTTAATTTTAAACTGATTTTAAAAATCAGTTTTATGTTCTTATTTTCTTAATAAAATTAAGATTTCTTCTCTGTAATTAAGCTACGTGGTACAAAAAATAATGCAATTTAAAGTGATATTGGCCTATAACACTGTCGATACTTTTTATTCAAAATCTAATATCTACTTTACTTTGTTCTTTTATTTATATTAATTAACGATATTGATAGTCGCATAATTAGTAAATTAAAAAAGTTTGATTATGACATTAATTTCTTGAGTATTTCTTGCTGTATTCAGCCATTACAAATTGAATTGAACTGGCGACTTGGACAAATTTTTGGCAAATGACCTTTTATTATACTAAGTGTATAGTATTAGTAAACAGTTAGATGTCTCTTATATGGGTTGTTAGGGCTGCATTTGATAGTTTTATAAAAAAATATTACCATAGTACTCTCATGGCCATCCAAGATTGAATATAAAAACTGAATTTATTTCTGGCAGGTTTCAACTTTCTTGCTTTAATGTCAGCCAGTTAGATTACTTGTTTTTCATTCAAGTTTAATTTCTTTAAATGCATTTATGAACTGCAATTTCTATCATTTTTCTAAGCATCATTAAGAGAAGTGTTCTACAGTGTGTAGGTTGTTCTGCCAGTCCAGACTTAAAAGAGTACATTATCTGTCCTACACTTTTTTTTCACATTTAGCTTCTCCTTGAAAGAATTGACTCAATACTGAGTTTCAGTATACTCATTATTGATATGAATCTAACAACACTGGCTCATACTGGCCTACATCATCAGTACTTAGACTGTGAATGAAGTTTAGCTTTCTATTTTCTTTTCTTTGCTGGTATATTATTATTCATGTGAATACTGATCAACTGATTTCCTTTGGAGGAGGGAGTGAACCATATATATATAACCTTTTTTACAATTTCTTATCATTTATTTTCTATTCAAGAAATTATTGAAAGGGCAAAGATAGATGGATACATTACACTGATTGTGCAATGCAGGCAACATCATAGTTGTACTTTGATGACCCAGTCAGTATGACATGGTTGCTTCGCTCAATGCCTCTGCACTACTGAATTACTATTATGGGGTTACCTGATGATTAAGATGTATCATGTCACCTCACATGATCTGTCCAAACTAAAGAATGCCATTTTAAAGGAATGTGTAAATCATTCTTGTGCCATGCATGGAACAGTTTTGGCCACAATGAAAAAATGAACAGGAGCATTTTAAGAAGCTAGCAGTGCATACGTTTAACACCTTCTATTACTTTTCACCCTGCCTTCAAACTAAAATCATGTTTCTTTAAAAATATTTTCAACTTTATTGCCACCTGTCTCTTAATCTGTCAATAAGTTTTCCATGCAGTGTTTTATTTCAAACTTTATGGCTATCTGTCAAGTGATTCTTGAGATATACTATTTTTATTCAGTGCAGTTACTTTATGAACCAGCCGTAAATTCCTTAATATATATGTATATTATATATATATATATATCTTAAGTGTGTGATTTTCCAGTAATATGCCATTACATTTGAGCTGTTTGTATCAAGAGTAATATAAGTTACAGTGTTTTGTTTTTGTAGTTATATTTTTGCAAGGTGGTTATCTAGTCCCCTCTGAAGGTTAAAAAAGTGTGATCTCATTCATCTTCTTGCATGAAGTAAACATTATGTAATATATGCTTTCACTTACAAACAGTTTGATGTTTGTGTGTGTGTTTGTGAAACACAGAACTTACATGTGTATGAACTTTAATATGCAACTAATTAAGGTCAGTGGACTACTTTATGGCTACTGTATACCACAGAAGCACACAGCAACCTAACATTTTGGTATGTCTTAAAAGAATAAAACTAATGAAGTTGATATTATTTAATAGATCACTTTAATCTTTTAGTTATAAATAGTAAATGAAAAGTTGATTTTTGCAACAATGAAAATAAAATTCTAGCAACAAATGTCTCTTAAACACATTCAGAATTTGGATTGTACAGTGAATAAGTTTATAAATAGATTTTTAAGTGTAAATTAAGTGCCAAATATAGTTGTTATTCTGAAGATAATTTTAATATCCAACTAGTGTTGAAATACTGTGAATGAAGTTTAGCTTTCTATTTTCTTTTCTTTGCTGGTATATTATTATTCATGTGAATACTGATCAACTGATTTCCTTTGGAGGAGGGAGTGAACCATGTGCTTCATCAACATTAATGAGTATTGGGGCACTAGGAAGAGAAGAAAATAAAAAACATTCTGCGGCTTTTATAAACACATTAAGAAGACTTTGTGTATAACTAATGACAATTAAGTACATCTATATACATTACTATTTCTATTGGTTATCACCTGTGCAGAAAAGTTTCATGCTGTACTACAAAACGCACATAGAAATATTCCAAAATGAGATAAAATCTTGCATAAACTTCACATAGCTTGATCAGGTAGTACCAAAGGGCATCAACCTCTTCCAATACATATGTCAGATTTTTAACCTTTATATATCAACAAAAAATATTAGCAAAAACATATCATGATGATCACAGAGAACTAGTTTCTAAAACTATCATATCCTGATCTGTGTAAGACTTTACTGGTAAATATAACTTAATCTTTCAGTTAAAATTTGTTTACTAGTACATTTACACCACCAATTTTCCTGCACCCTTGGTTTCAGAGCCTTGCTGAATTATCTATTTTGCTGAACCAACAGAGGTCACGTAATAATAATTCAACAATACACCTCTGACCCACTAATTATACCCCTCCTGTGTCTCTAAAGCACCATGGACTGCTATAAACTTAAATAAAACAAATATTAAATGTGAATTAAATGATTAATGAAATACATTAGTACAGGTATAAGTGATACAGGTTTATTAGTACAGTATAAATGAAAAAGGTTTATTAATTACTGTACTTACAAAGAATGTTGCAGTAGTACCACGTTCGAAAGTGGCAAATTTTAGAATTTTACTGGAATTGTAGAGCTAATCACAAACAAAAAAACATAAATTAAAAATTTAATTAAACAACTTTCTTTAAATATTTTTCAGAAAATTGTTATTTTCAAGTACGTTATATTTTCATACACTATTATCAACATTCTATGGCCGCCCAGTGAACTAGTCTGGCGGTTGTGGAAATTTCAACTGCATTCTTGTAATTTTATCCGGATTAAAGGAGGTGCCGGACCATCGGAAAATTGGTGGTGTACTAAAACTATTCAAACAGTAATGTGACTTCTCTTTACAAATCAGTTTATGGTTTTGCATGCACAGGCAGTAAAAATGTATATGTTCCCTATTGTCAGAAAAGAAGTGTTGATATAAGCAATAGTTGAAGCGATGAATCACTGTGGATGTATTTGTTGCAACATACCAGCACTACTTTTTACAGCGTATTTATCAATGTGCTTTTATTTTAACTGATATACTTTCCTATGCACTAATACTCTGTAATATATATCCAATGCCAAATATTACTTAATTGTAGGTCTTCTTTTTCTGGGGAGCCTTGATGCAGCTGTTTATATGTAATTACTACTAAGTTTACATTATCTAGCTGTTATTAATTTCATTTCATTTGATCAACCATGCTATTTGTATTTACTGGTATGACTATTTTGGTTTTTAAATTCAGGTTTCTGACAGCAATCTATTTTTTTTAGATAAATTAACCACTTATATATATATATATATATATATTGGTATTCATTTTGAATTAACCATATGGTTTTTATATACATGACTTAAAATCATATATATTTATTCATATGTTGGCAACACACTTCAAAATTGATCAGTGGTTAAAATTTTTATAAAATTATAATCTGATCTTGTGAAAATGCCCTGTCCATATAACTCAGGCTAACTGATTTTTACTTGTTTGGAAAATATTGAAATAAAAACATTATTTATACCTTGTGTTTCAGAATCTATATTCATTACAGCAATGCCAATAAGGCTGGTATTGGATATGTGGGGAAGACATTTGATGATCTGTTGTGAAAGCTTATAAAGAACATGAAGTAAGGAGTTCACAGGGAAATCCTTTTCTATTTTTTGACAACTGACTCTATTACCTGTGTATATATTAGTGTTCATCTATTTTGTATCCTGGAAATATCACATGTATATGTGCAGTGTTCTACTACTAAGATAAGTTTTAAAAGAGATTATTATTGGATGAAATTTTCATTTGGCTGTTTGTATTATGTAATAAAAAGTTTAGTCTCTTTCACTTTGTCTTGTTTTTTAAAGATTTTACAATAGTATGTAGTTTTTAGTTTCATGTTCTTCCAAACATTTCTTCTTTACAAGAAAATTTGTATTTAGCAAAGAAATCAATGAATTATATGTTGTAAAAGAATTTGTATTTTCATATTATTGGGTTTGAAAATAAGTGATTCTGTCAAGTTGTGATAGAACAGTGTACTGATGCCATATAATGATATCACATTCTCAGTTACTGTATCAGAACTAATGTGTAAATTGTCACACCTACAAGAAGTGAAATTCACATAATAATAATAACTACAAGACATTCTTTGCAACAATAATTTGTGCTGAACCCAAGTCTGTCTAATGCAGGCCAACTGAACAGTATTCTTTAATCAACTATTCAAACCTGTTGTTAAGGGCTACATATTTATAGGGAAACATCTTGAAAACTTGGAATTTAATTTGGTAGAACTTGTAACATAGCTTTAAGAGGGAATTTTTTAGTAAACACTTAATTTCTTTGTACAAGTTTATCCGAGTGATTTTTTTTC